TGGGTTTTTGTTGCTTCATTCCCTTATTTTTTCCTAAAGCAAATTTTCCTTGAAGAACGAGCTTGCACTTTTTTTCAGATACTTACGTTGTTTTTTGATAGGGATACAATGCTCCCATAAGTATTTTACATTATGATTGTAGAATTTTGTCTGTTCACCTGTTTCTTAAATCACCATAGTAGAAAGTCTTTTAAACTTTCTTCTCCTTTCAGGCTTTTGTTTAGCCTGAAAGTCAGTTTAGACGGAAGATTTGTGAGATGTTTTTTCTGCAAAACTCTAATGGCAAACTCCTGTTATTCCTCTATATTCATTTAATGAGCTTAATCCAAAGTCCCTTCGATGGCATCACCCTGTCACACTAGCTCCCTGGAGAACCAAGAGATGATTGAAAGGGAAATCTCCACTCTAGTATAATTCTGGTTAAAGGGAAACCAAACAGAATCGTTGGGTTCTTTAGCTCAGTCAAGCTGAGGTAGATGCTAGAAACCAAATAATCATTTCCAGGATTTAAACAAGAATCAATTTTACTAAAGTTGCAAAACAAGATGATGTTTCATGTACAATGCACAATTTAAAAAAAGATAAATACAAAAAAAACCCTTAACACAATTGTAACTAAAGTAGTTTTCAACCTTGCCTGAAGGATCCCATCCCCCAACCTCCCATTCTGGATTCCAGGCACCTCTCTCACAATCCTTACCCAAAAACTCTTCCCAACAAAAACCTGACAGGAGCCATTCTGTTCTTTCATTGGCTCTTGGGGATCAGATGGCTCCCTCTGGGCACATAAAGCAGGTTTGTGATTTAAATGGCCTGCTTCTCATACATTTAATGCGTTCTCAAACACTGGCAACATTTAAGGTTATATCTCTTACATGCAATTAAATGAGAAGGAACAGCAGAGTATATGTATATGTAAGAAAATTATGTTATTAATAAATAGGCATATCAATAGTTACAATGGGTGTTTTTATCAGGGTAAGCTTTTAGAGATTTGTTAACACACATATAAAATCCCTTCTACCTCTAGTAAGGAATTATAAGATGTCCAGTTGTCTAAATCTCTGAGTAAATACAATTCCATTGTCCATAGAAAGGAAAGAGGCTTTTTAAAAATCTCTTGATGAGTGGCAGCTAGCTATAGGGAAAGAAAGGAAGAAATTTAATTAAGGAGACGCAGAAGGATGAAATCTAGTATTCAGACTTCTCTATATTGACTGCTTAAGGCACTCTTGCCATTTAGCACAAAAAAGAAAACATTTTCCTTCCTTTAGCTTTCTTCCTATAACAATGATTAAGTATATGAAAAGAAGATGGTGGCAACCAATATCAGATGAAGGCGTCAATTACTACATTAGTTTGAGTATTTCCCCACCATCTGAAACATTCTGTATTCTTATTTCCAGCCCCTCAGTGACCCTGTAGGCCTTGGACCTGGTTCCCCCTGGGTCCCTTCAGGCCTTCCCTCTCCCCACTGGGTCCTCCCATCAGGTCCCTTTCAGACCATGCACCTGCTTCCCAGCCCACACCCTCCTCACCACCTCCCATCACCCATGCACTTTTTGAAGATCTCCAAAGCTCCATACCCAAAATTGATTTTGTACCAATAATGTTATGTCTTAATTTTAGACAGATAAAGTAGCTGAGATTCTTTTATCTACCTCTAAAATACTTCTCGGATGATGTGATTGTGATTAATACTTGATCTATGCCCAATCTCAGTTCTATAGCATGACTTTAATAATTGGAGCCAAAGAACTTGGATAACAGCGATTTTATTAATTTTAAAATAAATTCATAAAAGCCCTCACTTTGAGAGAACTCCTTCAATGATGAGGGAGCCAAGATCCAATCTCGAAGAAGACTTTTTTTAAATAAGGAAGATGTTCTACTAACTTGCCATACAATAGCTGAATGGCTGATGTCATTTTCCAAAAACCATGACCTTTGATTTATAATGATCAGAGAATTATTATGGTAGTAAGAGCCAAGTCTTCTTAACTATCTACATAGCCCAACTTGCAAATATTGTAATAGAATCATGGTATTTGCAGTGAGTGCTGAGTACCTTAGACGTGTGTACTTCAGAATCCTTCATCAGTCCCTGGTAAGTAATTAATACATAAGTTAAATAGCAGAGCAGTGCAAGTATACACTGCTTTATTCCTTTTTAAGTATTGTTCCTGCTTTTCATGGTTGCACGGATTCCAAACCACACTATTAAACAAGTATTTGCATAAAGGACTTTATGTAAGTAGTCTAGGTTCCCTATTGAGAACAGTCAATTTTCTTCACATTATTTCCTTGTTAATTATGTCAAATGCTACATTGAAGTATACAGGTAATCCTCAACTTAAAATGGTCATTTAGTGACCATTCAAAGTTACAACTACTATGAAGTTTTTCACACTTATGAAGTAGAAAGTTTATCAGGATTTATTTGCTCTTCAGGCATTTTATAATTTGATCTTGTTTTATAAAACTGGTGTCCAGTGTCAGTAGTTATTATGGAAATAGTGATTTAGTTGCCTGTTTTTCAATAAATTCCAAGAGAGCAAAGAGATCATGATAATAATTTTCCCGATTCTCAATTGAGATAGGTATGTCAAATGCAAATCCTTTCAAGATTTTGGCAGCAGAGTTAATATTGATAGCTATCCAGAATTATACTGTGGTAAGATGGGCAACCAATCTGTACTGAACTGAGTCAAATCTGGAAAGTGTGATAGAGCTCATCTCATGATTTTTTTGGATGTCAGTTACTATGTATTTTTTTTTTTTTTAATTTTATTAGAAGCTTCCCAGAGTCATGTATGTTAGTTGAGCAACTATATAAATCAAATAAATAAATGCATATTATGTCAAATGATGTTTGTGTCAAATCAGGGGGACCTAGCTATTGGAAACATTTTGAGGAGGATTTGGGTATTAAATGATTCTTCCACACATGGCACAAATTTGTGAATGTATTGGATAAAAATTGCCAATCAGCTGTAAGTGACCAAATTGTTAAGATCCAATTGATAATATTACATGATTTGAGGCTATTTATTATTGCCTCGGTATCTAGTCAGTTACTTTATTTCAATTGTTGATCAGCAAACTCATTATCTACTTTAGTCCATATTGATCTTTTATTCTGATTCACCTATAGGTTAGTTATAATGTACCTAACAGTCATGTTATGTAGTCTTAAATCTGAATGGCCTAGGAATTTCTGTTCTCTGTTGATGATTGCTTTGTCCTGTTAGATAGACAAAGATCTCTGAGAAGAGGTTGACTACTTTTCAATGCACAACACAACATTTGTGTTGAGAAAGAAATCCACAAAGAAGATACCACATACGTTTAAATGCTGCATTAAAAGTTTACATCAAGTGTTTTACGGACCTGTGTAATGAGCCAGACCCTGAAGTGCAGAATCATAGCTTAATAGGTGATCTTGTGACTCTGAAGTCAGAGGGCTCAAATGTCTGCAGATGAAGCTTATAAAGAGTCAAACCTTTTGGAGGGGGATCTTGTAAGTATGGAGCAATCATTTGAAATACAGGATATGGATCTAAAGCAGACCATCATGACTTACAAACAGGAAAGACTACATTGATAAATTAAAAATAATTATGGCTACCAAGGAATATTTAGTGTGTTGATCAGTATTTTGTGGCTAGCGGAATGTTGGCAACAGACCTGGAGGCATTGGAATTGTTTGAACTGTGTTTTTTGAAGCAGTGGTGGCAAATGTGTTTACTTTTTAAAAAATGGCAATAGGCTACATAAGTCTGCTTGGCAGGTCGTATGTTATACAGGCCTGATCTAGAGTCTGAGGAGAAAAAAGTCTTCAACCCTTAAAGGCACAGAATGATCATGTGCATAGAAGAGAGGCATTTAAAGAGGCACCTTAAAAGAAAGAGACCTGACTCAGGAAAACAGGCATGCCTGAGCACTATAAAACTAGAGCTTGGGAGTCAGATTTTTATCAGTTAATCACCTTCTAACCTTAAATCTAATTTCCTGAACACATGCTGCTTCTAACTCAGGGGTCCACAACCCGTGGGCCCTGGCCCACTACCAGCCTTGAGCCTTTTGGAACCAGGCCGCGGAAGTGATGAGTGTGCACACATGTGAGCAGCAAATGAGTGCATGTAGTGGGTGGGTGTGCCCACCGCTCGTGCAAATGGAGCTGTGTGTGCAGAACCATCCCCTCTCCCAGGAGTGGGATCCTACTGGTTTAACAACTGGTTCGCTAAGAGTGCGCTTTGCACATTCCTTGGTCACCTCCAGATTGGATTATTGCAATTCTGTGTACTTGGGGTAACCCTTGAAAAGCATTTGGAAGCTGCAGCTGGTCCAGAATGCATAATACCAGAGCTACATGAGCTGCACTGGTTCCCAGTATGCTTCCAGATGCAATTCAGGTGCTGTTATCCTTACATTGCATGGAGCCAGATTATTTATAAACTTGCTTATCTTTAATTCTGCCCAAGTTATTAGTTCTAGCAGGTGGGCATGTTCTGAATCCCTTCAGTGAAATAAGTTACTAGTAAATAGAAAGTGCTCTTAAGAACTGATTACCTGATTACCAGCAGGTAAGTTTTAATTTTACCTGAAAAATATAGTTATGCACTGACAACAGAATATTAGATGGAAGTAGCTCTTCATTAACAATCTTGGCAGATTTTTGGTATTCAACTGTTAAATAAATTTGTCTTGATCGATTTTCTCCTATTTTATGAATTTCCGAGCAGAAATAATATCTGTATTGTGACAGATTATATCAACAATTTGTTTAGTGAACTGGAATCTTTGACAATTTGTGTTTCATCCTGGCGGATGACTATTTCCTGGAGAAATCCATTGGGTACGGGGAGGAGGACAAGGACAAAGCTAAACTCTCTTAATGCATGTAATATCTGAAACAATTTTGGCCATGCTAAAATATTCTAAACTATGTATATATAGGAGGTTAATGGATACATTTTAAGGTGTCTATATTCTTGCAGATATCCTCTTTTTTTCATCCAACACAAAGTGAAATAACAAGCCTTGACAGTGGAAATATAGATGATGTTTTAAGTAAGTATTGTTTAATGCTTATACAGGACATTTATTTATTTATTGCTTCAATTCATATAGTTTCCTATCTCACAGTTGTGACTCTTGATGGCATAGACAGGATGACACTCAACAACAATAACAATAAAAACAATCACATAGCACAGTTAAGGGCAATGAGACTCAGATCACATAATTTTAATCAGGTCAAAGAAACCACAATGATGGAGTCAGTCATCCTGTAGGAGCTATGCCTAAAACAGATTTAGATCTTCAGGGATTAACAAAAAGTTAGTAAAATTGGGCCAAATAAATTTTTGGGGGTATGATGTTTCAAAGGGCAAGCACTGTGATAGATAGGCCCACTTCCTTAATAATAGATGGGAGCCAGAACATGGTCAGCTTGTCTGATCAGCTCAGACAGAAAAAATTGGAGAAAGGTGGTCCCAAAAGTAAGGTGGTCCCATGCAATTAAAAGCTTTAATCAGGACTTTGAATTACAACCAAAAGCCTACTGGGAACCAAGGCAGTGATGTAACATGGATAAACTGAAGTGTTCTCATAACTATTTACATTGCCACAATCTGGACCAGCTCTATCTTCTGAGTGAATTTCATGGACAGCTTTAAGTTCATTGCTGTAATTCAGGTGGTGAGCAAAGCTTGGGTGACTTTGAGTAATGTCATGGTCCAAGAAAATATGTCAAGATGAATCTGTACAAAAATTCTGCTTGCTGTGACTTCTATATGTTTCTTGAACGGGAACCATGAGGACCATCAAATTACATATGAGATTTGTATAGAGCAGTGCAATCCCATTAACAACATGGATGGAAAATCTTTGGATTTGGGAAGCTTTGAAACCTGTTGCTGTGTTGCACTCTCCCCTCAATGCTAGCGGCTGCCGCTCCTCCTTCTCCCTCTGTTCTTGCTGCTGGGCAATCCCATGCAAAGAAGGGAACAGCAGTGTTAGCACACACAAGTGGCAGCACACAGGAATGCTGCCCCCTTCTCCCTCTCTGTTCCCGCTGCTGGGTGATCCTTTGTGAAGAAGCGGGCTGGCAGAGAGGTGAGAGTGCAAGGTTGCTGCTTCTGGGACGAGGGGATCCGGGAAGCATTTGAGTCCGGCTTCTCTTCCTCTTGCAGCCAGCTCTCCCAGTCTAGCTTGACACAGACTTCCTCCCCAGGCCCCCATCTGTTTCCCCCCCGACAGCCGGATAAAACTAGGCAAAATGCCACCCCTCACTGGCACCCAGCTTCACTGACAGCGGGCTTGCAAAGGGCAATGTAAGCTGCGCTGCTGCCTGCGTCATGCTAGACTGGGGAGGAAGAACATGAGCAAGCATTGAGGAGACTGCAGAGAAGGGAAGCCAGGCAAAGGGGAGAGAGAGGGGTGTCCGCAGCATGCTGGGTCTGGCAGACTTTCTAAGCCTGCTTAAAGCAGGGAGGGAGGGAGGAGGAAGGGAGAGAGAGAGAGAGGGAGAGAGAGGGAGAGAGAGAGAGAGTTATATCAGGGCTGGCGGCGGTTTGCACGCTCTCTCTCTCTCTCTCTCTCTCTCTCTCTCTCTCTCTCTCTCTCTCTCTCTCTCTCTCACACACACACACACACACACACACACACAGAGAGAGAGAGAGAGAGAGAGACAGAGAAGTTGGATCTTTCTTTCCTTCTGTCCCCCCTCCCGTCCCACCCACTGGAGATCCCTGGATTTCCTCCCCAACCCTGCCTGCCTGTCTCATACAGGCATTACCCACATGAGTGATGTAGAATTGGCCATGCCCACTCAGTCACATGACACCCCCCAGCCACCACCACCCAGTCATTAGGCAGAACCAGTTAAATTATTTGAATCCTGCCACTGATAGCAAAACCTTATTATTCAGGTTAAATTGCTGTATTGGCACTTTGCGATAAATAAGTGGGTTTTGGGTTGTACTTTGGGCACTCGGTCCTTAAAAGGTTCGCCATCACTGCTCTAGAAGAAGCATTTAAGAATGACTATATTTCTTATTCATAAATGAAATCTTGAATATATTTGCATAACATTGATGGAAAAATATTTAGAAGCTAATGACATAAGTATATACATTTATAATGTCATAATGCTAAATGAAAATCAGATTGCATGAGTAAGGTTTTAAAATACTACTCTTTTTGGAACTTTATTATTGCTACGAATAGAAGGGAAGCTTCCATTGATAATACAAATTCCAAAGCAAAAACCTTGGCTATATTGTTATGCTTTAATCACACTAAACTGATTAATGAATCTTACTGATTTTGGTGCAGCTATGGTGTGTCTAATAATGCTTGGAAAAATAATGTTCTGTAGTACCTTCAAAATAGGTATTACAGGGTGTCCATATGGAGCAGCTTTTTGCAAACTTTTAAAACTACTGTGTTTTTTTCCAGGTTACTTGTGTGGCACTAAAGTAGCTGCAGTTTTCAAAGCAGCCATATAAACTTGGAAAAAATACCTTTCAAAGTGTTTGCACAGCCCAAATCCCTAATTTTGTCTGACTCTGAAACAATATTATTCTAATATTGGTTTTATTTTTATCCCCTGTGACTTGGTTCAAAAAAGGCTAAGTGAACGTTAATCCCACTTACTATGATAGCTCTCTGCTGCTGGTGATATGAAAGTGCAGCAAAAATCCTAAAACATTCATAGGAAATTTGGGGTTATTGTAACTCTTAACTTTGGAGTGTGAAAGTCTATGTTTGAAAATTTGGAAGATTGGTGTGGATGTTCTCACAAAATGGTTGACATATTGGGTATTGTGCAGTTACAAACATTTTCTTTCCCAAATCAATCAGGATAAAATAAAGAAATCTGGACCAAATCACCATAACAAAAAAATTTAAATTCCTCAAAGCTCAAATTTAATGTTCCAAACTACAGAGTAATTTATTAGAACAGAAGAATTGTGGATTCTGCTCTTTCACAGAAGACAGGACTAATAAAGTTCAGAATCAAGTAAGTTCACCAGAAACTGAAGACAAGGCCCAAGGGCAAATACACACATCAAATACATGCCCTTATGAAGGACAGCAAAAACTAATTTTCATAGGCAAAGCTATTTTGCTCTCTTTCATCCTTTGCCCTCTAACATTCTATAAAAAAGAACAAAATAACAGTTTAAATTTTAACTAGTTTAAATTCAGTAAATCTAATAATTCTGTAATCTGTAATAGAAACAGTATTACTTTTTATGAATTTTGAATTATCCAAATATTGCTTGCTGCTCTTCTGAAAATGATAATTTCATTATTCTTTTTTCTGGGCTGTTGATTTAATATTTTATGTGTTGGCTTTGTTGTGTCACAAACATTAATTAATTTTTCTTTTTCCCAGACAACGCAGATGTTGCATTAGTGAATTTTTATGCTGATTGGTAAGTATTTCTATATAATCATATATTTTTATTAATAGCAAAATTTGGATTATTTTCTGCTTTTAAAAAGCATTTATAAATCTTAAGATAAACAAAAACTTTGAAATATAAATTTAGTACTTTTTAAACTAAATATATAATACTTTTTCTTGTCAGTATTCTTCAAAGGTATATTGTATCCTAATTATACTTTATTCTTTAGGAATGATTTCATAAAACATAGAGACTTTTTTCCTTCTTATTGCCTTATCCCCTTCCTCAAAGATTAGGAAGATATTCAGATTACCTTGATTCATTAATTTCTCGGTGCAAAGAAATTTCTTGTGTAATGTACAGCAGAACATTTGCTTTCAGTAATTCTGTGTGATACTACATTGTGAAATCCTCTAATACCTTATTTTTAGAAAATGCCTCTTATTTTGTTTCTTTAATTTCAACAGGTGCCGATTTAGTCAAATGCTACACCCTATATTTGAGGAAGCTTCTAATGTAATTAAAGAAGATTTTCCAGATAAGAATCAAGTTGTATTTGCCAGAGTAGATTGTGATCAGTACTGTAAGTAAACTGCTTTAAGAATTTGTTTATATTTTAAGTATCTAGTTGAAAAAAATCAGATGTTATTGGAATAATCTAAGATCTTGCAGTGAGTTAGTGAACAAAGATGTTGATTTAAAAAAGTGATTACCATATTTTTCGGACAATAAGATGCATCTGACTATAAGACACACCTAAATTTAGAAGAAGAAAACAACAACAAAAAGTTTTTGGCCTCCCTTTTTTCGGGGCTTTCCCAGCCTTTTTTCAGCCCGTTTTTTGTGACTTTATTGGGCCCGTTTTTGAGGCCCGTTTTTGAGGTCTTTTTTCAGCCCATTTTTGGGGCTTTTTTGGACCTGTTTTGGGGGCTTTTTTTGGGCCCGTTTTCGAAGTTTTTTCCGCCTGTTCAGGCCAAAAAACAGGCTAAAAAAAGCCCTGAAAACAGGCCAAAAAAGCCCCAAACGTGGGCCAAAAAAAGCCTCGAGTACAGGCTGAAAAAAGCCCTGAAAATGGGTTGGAAAAAAGCCTCAAAAACGGGCAGGAAAAAGGCTGAAAAAAGGCCCAAAAACAGGGCATGTGGGGCCAAAAAACGGTCGGCAGATGGCCAGGGCTTCAGCAATATTTGGTCTATAAGACACAGAGACATTTTCACCCTCTTTTGGGAGACAAGTGCATCTTATAGTCAAAAAAATACAGTATGTGCCATAAGTATGAATTTTTACCAAGCAAATATATAGATTTTTCTCTGTAACAATTTGTCCCTAATTTGGTGTTTCAGGTCATCCAATGGTACATCTATCACCACTTTAACTGAGTCAGTCTACTTGTTATCATACTTAATTAAAAATTAAAAATTACATTTTTCACTTTTAATGACTTCTTCATTTCCTATTGATCAAGAATAATGTAGTCACATTATTTAGTTGACTTTTTCCAATATTAGGATTCCACTTTTCTACAGAAAGATTATTTAAATGTCTTGTGTTGCAAGGTACATTTCTCTGCATTTTAGCTTTTTGAATGTGGCTAATAATTAGCATTTAGAATTATTAATTTTAGAACAAATTGTATTTACAATATAAATAGCATCTTTCTTTATGCAACTGCAGTGTCTGCAGGAAATAGAAATAGGTCCTTTTTCCTTACTGCATTCAAAATGGTCAGCCTAACCATAGCTGTCTTATTTTGATGTACAATTGATCAGGCAAGCTACAGATTTTAGCAACTGGTTTGCTAAGGCACAGCAAATGAGAAGGAATTTTTTGATGACTTTTACCATGCTTGATGTCTAGTAACAAAATATTTGCCTGCTTTTAGAACCAATATAAAGATGTTTTTCTGGAGAATGTGTGGAACCTTAATGGGATCCTAGAAATGTCTTAACTCTTTTTAAAAAATTTAATCACATTTCTAAAAGTAGAAAGTGGTATAAGAGGTATGTTAGTTGAAAATTAAGTACACTATATTTTTATTAAATCATAATTCAATGAGTTCAATGATCAATGATACTGTAAAAGTGTGGAAAAGGAAGTATTAAAAATGATGTCTTATTTGATAGTGAATGTGATGTCCTAAAAGTGAGTAAGTAATAATCAAGAACAAGTCTCTATTGAAATCTCTATTAATATATCAGTAATAGAGGTATTTTTTTAAAATGATACTATGGCAGTCATTAATTCATCTTCAGTAAAACATTTAAATAATTGGCAATAGTAATAAGACTACATTCACTGGTATGGCAGAGCAATTTGAATTCTATAATACAAACTTCATGTGATACTGTGAAACCAAACGGCTGCAACATTTTGTATCAGTTGAAATTTCTGCATTGTTCCTGGGTACTCCTCCATTGTGCTTATAATGGAAATCAAGCCTGGAGTTATCATTCTTAACCCCCATGTCAGTGTATATATCATTGTTCTGTGGTCACTTTTATCTAGGTTTGGACTACTTCTTAGTTCCTCTTTTATCAATTTGGGTGTCAAGCAGTGGTGGGATTCAAAAAATATTAGTACCGGTTCTGGGCATGGCTTGGTGGGCGTGGCAGGGGAAGGATACTGCAAAATCTCCATTTCCTCCCCTCTCCAGGGGAAGGTTATTGCAAAATCCCCATTTCCTCCCTATCAACTGGGACTCGGTAAGCAGAGAATAGATGGGGACAGGGCCAGTGAGAGGTGGTATTTACCGGTTCGCTGAACTACTCAAAATTTCTGCTACCGGTTCTCTAGAACTGGGTAGAACCTTCTGAACACCACCTCTGGTGTGAAGGGAAAGACAGCTAGTTGTGTCCATGCTACATTAAATATTCTATGTAGTCATCTGATGTTACTTCCCCACTTCTTGGATTATTTCTGTTGCCCATTTATTCCCAGTGCTTTATATTTAGGTGATCCTTTCAGAATTCTTGCTACTTCTTCAATATTTCTTGTCTAGCACTGTTGTAGTGGCAAATTTCGGTGGTTTCTTCATCAGACCCTCCTCGGGGGTTGAGGAATTCTTTGAAATGTTCTCTCCACCTTTTTATTACTTCTGATGATTGTCTTAATGGACTTCTATTCCTCTCATTAATTATTTCTGTGCATTTATAATTCTCTCTACTTTTGATTAATTAGTAAAATGTTCTCCAGGCTGTTCTTTCCTTGTCTACTAATGATTTTCTGAAGTATTTCCAGGATTCTTGTTTTGTTTTTTTGATTATCCTATTGGTATCTCTAGATTGTAATCTATAGTTTACATAATCTTCTTTCCCTGTTTTTATCCAATATTTATTTAACTCTTTTTTGCAACTTTACTGTTTCTTTATCAGAAGATAAAGAATCACATCATGTGTTTGGTCACATTCCATATTTTTCCACTTTTCATTTTTCTGCATAGTTTTTCTGCATAGTTTTTCTATGCAGAAAAACTGCATAGTTTTTCTGTGATGTTAAGCAGGGTAGTTCTATATTAAATAATACCATTTATCCACCACGTTTTCTACCTCTGGTGGCAGTTAGTTAAATGCTGCCTCCACATTTTATTATAGTTGTTCTACTGCTTCTCGTTTAATTATTTCCTAGTTTTTATTTAGTCTTTTTCTGTTAATATTAAATGTGTACTTTCTTGGTGTTAGCCCTACAATCTTATGATCAGTGTTACAAAGTTGGAGATTGCTTTTGCATCAAGTTTTCTGTATCTTCTTTTTACTCTTGTTAATATGTAATCAATCTGACTTTTAATAGCAATGTCATTCCCATTATGCCATGTATAACATTGTAAATATCGATCTTCAAAAAGTGTATTAGTGAAAAAATATGATGTTAGCTGCATAAATCCAGGATCTTTTGCCCATTCTCGTTCCTTTCACCATTCTTAGCAGCATGTGGGCCAATGAACTGCTTATACTTCCTTCCATTAATACCCACTCTACCGTTGAAAACACCCATTAGATACAGTAGCTTCTGCTTTCTTTATCTCCTCAAATAGTTCATCAAATAAATCATTCTTTTTTTCTTCTGCGTAATTATCATTACATGGGGCATACACCAACAAGTCCACTCCATTCTTTGATGTGCCCCTCCTGAGTAGATAAATGTATCCTTTATGAACTTTCTTACTACCATGTCTTTTGTGTCTTATATTGACTAGTTCTATTATCTTGATCCCTCTTCTTTCCATTTTTTTCTAGATTTCTTCTTTTGTTTTATTGTTTGTTTTATTAAATTTATATACCGCCCTACTCCCGAAGGACTCAGGGCGGTGAACAGGCACAAAATAAAATACATAAATACAAAAGTTAGAAACATAATTAAAACCAAATTAAATAGTTTAGCCCAAGACAATTAAAAATCCCAATAATTTAAAACAAATTAAAATTTCATTTAAAAATTTAAAAGGAAGGGGCGAAAATTAGGCCAGGCCGGTTTGCTGGAATAAGAGGGTCTTAAGAGCACGGCGGAAAGTGCGCAGATCTGGGATCCTCTGTATCTCTGGGGGAAGCTCGTTCCAGATAGTGGGTGCCCCCACAGAAGGCCCTCAGTCGGGGCCACCAGTTGACACTGGGGGCCTGGGGGCCACCAGTTGACACTGCTTGGCTAACGGCACCTGGAGGAGCCCCTCTCTATGAGAGCATACCGGCCGGTGGGAGGCTGTTTGTGGTAGTAGGTAGTTTTATTTCCCAAGCTGGTTGTATCCAGAATTCCTATTTTATACTTCACTGTCTTGTCTCTTGGTCCTTTGACATTGCCACAATAATTTCTTATTGGATCAGTCCACTTGTATTTCATTTGGATTTTGTCGAAGTATGTAGCGATCCAGCCAGCACACAAGCAAATAATTCAACAGGATTCATTATATAGAAGAAACTTCTTTATATACAAGAATATAAAACATGATGCATGCATGCAATACACATGCAGCGCTTACAATGTAGTAGAGAGAAGAAGTAACAACTCTCAAGCAAAGACCAACAAACTCTCACAGCACAGAACAATTAAGCTAAACCACACCCAGGTTCCAAGCTGGCTCATATGGCTCAGACAACAAATCCTGTGTCTCAGTCACCAAACAGTTCCCATTGGCTGACTTGTTTCTATGGCTATTCCAGTTCATAAATTCTTATACACTAATACTCCTCCCCTTATGACTGGAATAGACAAAAAACCCAATAACTTAATATTCTTCTCATGATGTACTCCACCCATTGGCTTGGTCATTATATCTGCCAGATTGTCCTCTGAAGAACAGAGAAGTAAGCTAATTAATTTACATTTGATGGCTTCTCTTACATTACAATATTTAATATCCACATGCTTACTTCTTTTTTTATTCTATCATCTGTTGTCATTTTAATGCAAGGAACATTATCTTCAAACACTGTTACAGCTTCATTTACTTTTACGTTTAAATCCTTTAACAGCTGTACCTACCAAGTTACCTTTGAACAAAGTTCAGATAGAGCAATAAATTCTCCATTGAGAGTGGAGACAGCAGCCAGCGTGGGTAGTGCCCATCCAATCAGCTTGAAGGACTGAGCCTGCCAA